GTGAGCGTATTGTCCAGAAACTTTTCTTACCAACAAACTCTTTAGGTGTATTGATATCCTGTAAGAAAGCAGCAAATAATTCTCTTCCTGTTGCTTTTATCGTCTGGCGATGCCTCAACGAGTCATTCACCAAGTCAACAATATTCGACGCAGCTATACGGACTCCGTCCAATTGGACAATACCTGACGCATCCCACCTCAAACGCCTTTGCCCCGCAGATTCTTGAATATGCTTAAGTAATGCGCTAGCTTGTTTTCGATACTTTTTTGGTACGGCTGATATGATAGAGTCATTATCATACGTGAATTGTTGATAATGACTATCATACCTTCGGTGGTATGATAGTCTGAATTAATGCTGAAAAATAATTTGTTGATTTTTTTTTGTTTCCTTTTATTGTTAACGGTTAGGAGAAGTTAATGAAAGAATGCCAAGAATTTGGGAAAAAGCCATGCGGCATAAAAAACCCAAGTTTATTTAATACACTGAAAAAAAATGAAGTACGTTGCACTGCAAATGTCGATTGAACTAAATTGTTTGTGTGTTGGTTCACTTTCACTGCCTTATGCTACTTGAATTATTCTACTTAATGAATAATCAAACTTAATGCTAAATTACACTGATAGGACAATGGTTTCAAGATCGTTTGTTGGTTATGAACAGGCGTGGCATGGAAGCCACGCGGTGACAAGGAAGGCGTCCCTCCACAAGTCGGTGAGATTCGGTTTCCCTGATAGTATTCGGGGTGAATTTAATGTGTTTTTCAAACAACAATTATTTAGATTAGTTAATGATTGAGATTTTGTTTTGTTAGATTAAGATTCGTTATGTTGTAATTGGTTTATGGTAAATTTCTTTGGTTGCGTATATAAGAACTTTCTAGAAGCACACGTTCACTTAATGAAAACTGAACGAATAGTGAAGATGCCGAGAGACTCGCTCGCTCATGCGCACGACTGGAGAGCATAGTCGATAGGTGCTGCCCTCTCAGTCGCCACATGAACACGAGCCCTCAGTTCGTAGTCGTGACGACGGAACATGCTCCCGGGGAAAGCTGCGAAATAGTTAATCAACTGATTACTGTTACGCAAGTTAAAGATACAATCGCAGATTTTTATAATGCTAAAGACATTCAAGTCACAGGTAAAAGACAAAGTCGGGTAATGTTGCGCTTATAACTGCCGCTGGCAGTCTTGACTAAAGCTACTCGAGCAACACCGTCACTTCCGGGAAACAGTTCGTTTATGACGCCCAAAGGCCATCGAGCACAAGTGTTCACATCATCCATCAGAAGGACTACTGATCCGATTTGAAGTTCAGCATTCGACGTATGCCACTTTTGACGAAGTTGAAGTTCATGGAGGTATTCTTTATGCCATTTACTCCAAAAGTCCTGTCTTGCTTTGGTGATGAAGTTGTAAGTTGATAATCTATTGTCTGGAACTGAGAGAAGATCCCTTTCGGGCAGAAAATGGAATGGGCGGCCTATCAATAAATGCGCTGGTGTTATGGCTGAAGGATCATTGGGGTCGGCTGAAAGAGTACAAAGAGGACGCGAATTCAAAATTGCTTCAATCTCGACTAACAATGTATTTAGTTGCTCATATGTAAGCTTGTGATCTTTTAAAATACGCTTCAAGTGATGCTTGAAACTCTTCACAGCCGCTTCCCAAATCCCCCCGAAATGTGCTGAAAGAGGTGGATTAAAATGCCATGCAATGCGTTTCGTTAAAGCGTAATTCGCGATATCTTCCTTGAAATTATTCGAAGAAACGAGATCGTAAAGGTCGCTAAGTTCGCGATTTGCTCCGACAAAATTAGTCCCGTTGTCTGAGTAAACGTGTTCCGGAACTCGTCTTCTACTGATAAACCTTCGAAAGGCTGCCAAGAAACCTTCGGTCGAGAGGTCAATAGCGAGCTCTATATGAACCGCCTTAGAGGCCATGCAAACGAAAACACAACCGTACGCCTTTAAAAATGATCGGTTTCGATCTTTCTTCTCTTTGATCAAAACTGGACCGAAAAAATCGAGTCCGGTATGTGAGAAAGCCGGTGCTTCATTAACTCTAGAACGCGGTAAGTCTGCCATTTGAGCGTGAATGGGCTTTGGTCTCTGTCGGATACATTCGACACACCGATGAACGATCCTTCGTACTTGATCTCTCCCATTCAGTATCCAGAATTTAGTTCTAATTGCATTAAGAGTGCTTTGAATTCCCGCATGGAGGTTAGTCTGGTGATATCGACGAATGATCATGTCTGTAACAAGATGTTTGCTAGGCAAAAGAATAGGGTGTTTTTGAGCATACGAAAGATCGGATCGCTGCAGTCGACCCCCCACACGAATGATTCCCTCCTCACCAATAAACGGATGTAATTGGTCAAAAGAAGTTCCTCTTAAATGAGATTGAAATGGACGATCACCCGATTGGTCCGTTTTTCCTTTTCGAAGTTCGGAGGCAAATCGCTCCCGTTGGATTATCCGAATAATGCGACGTTCAGTATCACACAGTTCTTCAATGGACAACGGAAGACCCCGCAGAGTTGGTTTCGTCCAACGCAACATACAAGCGATGACTCTCAATAATCGTTCAAATTCCGAAAAATGTAAATAAATGGGTTCTGTCGAAGTTTCTGTTAGCAAACAAAAGGTTTCCTTTAAGCCAGGTAATTTAGTAATTGATGGTTCAATCGATTTAGGCCAGTAAGAATGTTCTAAAACTAACCATCTGGGACCGGACTTCCAGAGGGAGTTTTTTACGAACTCAGATGGAAGCTGTCCTCGCGATAACGCATCAGCCGGATTGTCTGCGGATCTAACGTGTTTCCAAATAACCTGATCTTTTAATGTTTGGATATCTGCCACTCTATTGGCTTCAAACGGTCTTAAGAGATGAGGAGCTTTCGCTATCCAGTGAAGAACGATGGTGGAGTCGGACCAAAAATAAATTTTATCGATGGGAAACTCTAATTGTGGATTAACTTCTAGATATAACTTCTTGAGAATAGTCGCGGCGCATAGCTCTAATCGGGGTATGGTAAGCCCGTTCAAGGGAGCGACTCGAGATTTACTGCTGACTAAAGTGATCGAGACCTCACCCTGCGCGTTGTAGGATTTAAGATAGATGCAAGCTCCATAGCCGTGAATGGAGGCGTCACAAAATCCATGAATTTCGCACCGTGTAGGATTAGCGAATGATATTTGACGCGAGAATGACACGGATTCTAACTGCGGTAATTGAAGTGCCAATGATGTCCATTTAGAATGAATGTCTTGCGGGAGGGATTCATCCCAAGTTACCTTGGCCCTCCAGCATTCTTGAATTAAAACCTTGGCGAAAAGTGTTACCGGCCCTAATAACCCGAGTGGATCAAATATTTTTGAAATTTCGGAAAGAACTTTACGTTTAGTAGCAGTAGTCTCGGGATCAATTGATTTCTGAGTGTATTTTAAGAGATCACTCTGAGAATCCCAAATAATTCCCAAAGTTTTCTGAATTGGATCGGTTTTAATTATGCAATCTAAGTCGAAAAATTGTTTATCAATGGTATCTAACGCTGTTTGGTGATTGGAGGCCCATTTACGAATAATGAAACCACCCCGAGCCAGTAAGGCTATCACTTCATCGCGAATCGCTAAGAGCTCTTCTACGGAATCCGCTCCTGAAATAAAATCATCCACGTAAAAATCGCGAAGCACGAGTTTACTCGCGCGCGGAAAATCATGTGCTTCATCCTTAGCCAGTTGTTGGAGAGTGCGAACTGCCAAGAACGGAGCAGCAGCAGTCCCAAAAGTGACGGTGTTGAGTTGAAAGGTACGTAATTGTCCCTGATGATTCCATAAAATTTTCTGAAATTGTCGATCATCGGGATGGACCAAAATCTGACGGTACATTTTTTCAATGTCCGCGGTAATGACATAGCGGTGAATACGAAATCGAAGAACCTGTTCGAGGATCGTGTTTTGAATGGTTGGGCCCACTAATAGAGTGTCGTTGAGGGAAATACCGGTGGAAGTTTTCGCTGAAGCGTCAAACACTACACGAAGTTTAGTGGTTTCGCTAGATTCTTTTATGACGGCGTGATGGGGAAGATAATATCCCCCCTCAAGATCGCTGCAAAGGGACATATGGCCTAAAGAAATATATTCTTCCATGACCTTTCCGTATTCGAGTTGTAACGAGGGATTGTTGGATAGCCGTCGTTCTAATGAAGAAAAGCGCCTGATAGCCTGGTTACGAGATTCGCCTAAATTGAATTTCGAATCCCTGAATGGAAGACGAACGACATACCGACCAGATGCATCACGCCGCGTATGGGTAACATAGTGTTGTTCGCATGAAACTTCATCACGCGATCGGACCGGTTCGTGATCGAAGTCTTCGATTTGCCAAAAACGCTCTATGAGTTTATCTAATTTAACGACGTTGCACGGAGCTCTTGTTGACGGGGTTAACATTCCTGATCCCCCTGCTACTATCCAGCCTAATCGAGTTTTCTGCAAGATAATACTAGAGTTTCGCTGGACGAGTTTGATTTGACCGATAGCTAAAACTGATAGCATGATGTTGGAAGCAAGGAGGAGATCGATAGATCTCGGTAAGTGAAATTGAGGATCAGCAAGTGTAAGATTTTTAGGGATAAGAAATTGGTTTCGAGGGAATACTTCATTTGGCACGGAGTCTGCTATTTTTGGAACGATTAAACAATTTAATTCTCGCTCGAACTCGCCGCGCGCTAATCGGAGAGTTAGAGGCACGTATCGCGTCGAGACAGAGACCAATCCGTCGACTGCTCCAATGTTTACGGAACAATCGTTAACAGATAACTTAAGTGAATTGGCGAGTTGTTCGGTTATCAAATTCACCGTGGAGCCAGAATCTAAAAGCGCTCGCGCCGGCCTTGAGTTCCCGTGACCATCTAAAATCTTAACGATTGCTGTGGTCATTAATTGAGAATCTGATGGGAAAACTCCGCTAGTCATTGACTGACGTGTCAGTCACAATGGAGGATTAATCGACTTTGAGGGTGCATTATCAACGGCTTTGACTTGAGAGCCCTTCTCATTGTGCAATAAGGTGTGATGATTAAGATTGCATTTCTTGCAACGTTGTTCACTCGTGCACGGAAATTTGTGAACCCATAAACAGTTTTTGCACGCCTTGATACTCTTGATAAAATTCCAACGCTCTTGAATTCCGAGTTGATTAAAGTTCGGGCATTTAAACAAACGATGAGTTTCCTTACATTTGGGACAACCTACCGGAGTTGCCCAAGATCGTGACGAATCAGGGGTTGTTGTTGTGGCAAATGTGGTGGAAGTGACTTTGAACTTCTTATTTGCAGCGTGAGAAGGACTCTCCCCTCGTTTCTTCTTTAGATTAGGATTGGTATTAGGTGTTACCGTGTCTTGCGCTTGTTGTTTAAAAATAGCTAACCGAATGAATTTAATAAGATTATCCAATTTGGGAAGCTCGTCCATCTCGAGCTTATCCTGCCATTTATTTCGGACCGATGGAGGAAGGCAACGCTCGATGATGCGGACAACAAAGTCTTCCCCGGACTTGGCCCCGAGACCCTCTAAAATGTGCAGATGTTGGAGAGCTGTGTCTAAAAGACCGGACAACTCATCGACGGACGCTTTGTTAAGTTTGGGAAGATCAAGGATGGCATTAAGATGTTCTACGGCCACAATTCGTTTGTGATCATAGAAATCCAAAAGATCCTTCCACGCCTTTGCGTAATCTTTGCCGCTAGTCTCGTATTGACTGATTTTAGCCGCTGCTTGATCGGTGAGAGAATTGAATAGGTGACTACATTTCACTGTATCACTGATGTCGGTTCGAGAATGAACCAGAGATATGAATTTATTTTTATAAATGGACCAATTCTCACGTTTCCCTTCAAATGTCGGCAATTTGATTTCTGGGAGTTTTGGTAAGTCTTGTCTTTCTGTAATTGTAATGTTATTGGGGTTCATTGTTGAGTTCATTAAAGGCTCGACCTGCTGTAACTTTGTAACCGCGCTTCCTACTTCATAATATTGGGATTCAGCCTCCAAGAAAACGTTGATTTGAGGATCATCGGGTTGAATGCATAGTAATTCGTCATTGTGCTTTTGAGAAGTTTCGTAAATTGTGGCCAAATTGGTAAATCGCAACTTTGCATTGATGGAATCAACTGTTGTACTCTCAAGATATTGCTTAACTTTAAGAACTTGATTGGAAAAAAACCTGATTCTTTGTTGGAGATAATTAATTCGCGTTTTTTCTTCCATCGATAGCGCCATTGTGAGTTAGATTGAGGGTTCTGTTAGAGAGGGTAGTGAGGGTTCATAAACAAAGGGGGGGAAAAATAGAAAAACAAAAAAAGAACAACTTATCTCTGGTCAGTTCGCTGTTTCGCACTGAAGCTTCCTGTTGTGGGAGTGACGGTTGATGCGAGGCAGGTGTTGAGAGACACTGTTTGGTAGTTCGTAATGTTCGAACTTAATTAATATTTAAGAACTTAATGTTTAAGAGATTTTAATCGACACTTGCAGTTCTTGTTTGAGGCTATTAATATTAAAACCTCACAGGAGGCACCGTGAATTGTTGATAATGACTATCATACCTTCGGTGGTATGATAGTCTGAATTAATGCTGAAAAATAATTTGTTGATTTTTTTTTGTTTCCTTTTATTGTTAACGGTTAGGAGAAGTTAATGAAAGAATGCCAAGAATTTGGGAAAAAGCCATGCGGCATAAAAAACCCAAGTTTATTTAATACACTGAAAAAAAATGAAGTACGTTGCACTGCAAATGTCGATTGAACTAAATTGTTTGTGTGTTGGTTCACTTTCACTGCCTTATGCTACTTGAATTATTCTACTTAATGAATAATCAAACTTAATGCTAAATTACACTGATAGGACAATGGTTTCAAGATCGTTTGTTGGTTATGAACAGGCGTGGCATGGAAGCCACGCGGTGACAAGGAAGGCGTCCCTCCACAAGTCGGTGAGATTCGGTTTCCCTGATAGTATTCGGGGTGAATTTAATGTGTTTTTCAAACAACAATTATTTAGATTAGTTAATGATTGAGATTTTGTTTTGTTAGATTAAGATTCGTTATGTTGTAATTGGTTTATGGTAAATTTCTTTGGTTGCGTATATAAGAACTTTCTAGAAGCACCCGTTCACTTAATGAAAACTGAACGAATAGTGAAGATGCCGAGAGACTCGCTCGCTCATGCGCACGACTGGAGAGCATAGTCGATAGGTGCTGCCCTCTCAGTCGCCACATGAACACGAGCCCTCAGTTCGTAGTCGTGACGACGGAACAATACGGATGTAATTGTGTTGGCGGGGTATTAGGATCTTCCTTTTCTTCATCCTCCTTTTTACCCGTGGAAAATAAGTAACGTCTCAATACGTCCTGATACAATTTCCACTTTTCAGCTGCATTTTTACCCGTCGAAGATTGCAATGTTTAAGCCATTTCAGTATCTAATCGTGACGCTACATCTCCAGGTGTTTGCACTGTCTGCGGATCCGTCAATCGTGGTTTTTGTACATACCCTGCACCTTGTTGGTAAATTCTATTGAAATTGTCTTGAGGTACAAGTACCATTTTTCGTGGATGTTCCATATTAAAATAGTTTCGACCCCANGTATTTAAGCGGACGCTGAGAAATTTTTTTATCTTGACGCTCATGAGATTCATTTATATTTTCTATTGCTTCATACGCATTTGCAAGTATTACTGACGTTGGTGTCATTTTAATTATGTTATGATATGACTTGTTATACGCATCCACAAATTATTGCAAAACATCAATGTATCGATAAAATTTTGTGTGTGTAAATATCGCCACATTCGTTCCGTCAATATTCTGCTGAAACGCTCCACTATAGCAGCTTTAATATCAGGATGTCTCACAACACGGTATGCTATATTTTCTTTTTTAAATAATTTTTATACCGTGTTGGCGAGGAGCTCATTTCCACGATCTGTTTGTAATAGCCGTGGTTTACGTCCTTACGCGAATACATGTTTGAATGCTTCACGAACAGCGACCCCTGTCTTATCGGCCATTGGTTCCACCCGTGCAAATTCGCTTACAACCTCAATAACTGATAATAAGTACGTTGTACCGTCGTTATATGATTTGAGTTTTTGCAAATCAATCAAATCTGCCTCCTACACATCATCTATCGTATCCACATTATGATGCAGTCGTGGAAAACGTCTTCTTATAGGCTTATGAAGAGTATAAGCATTCTGCGCATTACGCCACTGAACAATATCTCGGCGAGGTATTTTTTTCTCATGCTTCTGTATAATTCTGGTGGCCCCCGAATGACCAGCAGGATCCTCGGGTTTGTAATAAGTATCCTCTAACTTAACCTGCTCCATGCTTTTATTGTTGAATTATTAGATGAGTCATTATTACCTCCGAACGCTATTCTTTTACCCCTTTGTGGTGTCTTAGGCGTGAAATAGTTATTTGGGGAGTGTAATTGTTCATCCTGTGTAGGCGTATATGTGGCCGCTGGTGAGCGTATTGTCCAGAAACTTTTCTTACCAACAAACTCTTTAGGTGTATTGATATCCTGTAAGAAAGCAGCAAATAATTCTCTTCCTGTTGCTTTTATCGTCTGGCGATGCCTCAACGAGTCATTCACCAAGTCAACAATATTCGACGCAGCTATACGGACTCCGTCCAATTGGACAATACCTGACGCATCCCACCTCAAACGCCTTTGCCCCGCAGATTCTTGAATATGCTTAAGTAATGCGCTAGCTTGTTTTCGATACTTTTTTGGTACGGCTGATATGATAGAGTCATTATCATACGTGAATTGTTGGTAATAACTATCATACCTTCGGTGGTATGATAGTCTGAATTAATGCTGAAAAATAATTTGTTGATTTTTTTTTGTTTCCTTTTATTGTTAACGGTTAGGAGAAGTTAATGAAAGAATGCCAAGAATTTGGGAAAAAGCCATGCGGCATAAAAAACCCAAGTTTATTTAATACACTGAAAAAAAATGAAGTACGTTCCACTGCAAATGTCGATTGAACTAAATTGTTTGTGTGTTGGTTCACTTTCACTGCCTTATGCTACTTGAATTATTCTACTTAATGAATAATCAAACTTAATGCTAAATTACACTGATAGGACAATGGTTTCAAGATCGTTTGTTGGTTATGAACAGGCGTGGCATGGAAGCCACGCGGTGACAAGGAAGGCGTCCCTCCACAAGTCGGTGAGATTCGGTTTCCCTGATAGTATTCGGGGTGAATTTAATGTGTTTTTCAAACAACAATTATTTAGATTAGTTAATGATTGAGATTTTGTTTTGTTAGATTAAGATTCGTTATGTTGTAATTGGTTTATGGTAAATTTCTTTGGTTGCGTATATAAGAACTTTCTAGAAGCACACGTTCACTTAATGAAAACTGAACGAATAGTGAAGATGCCGAGAGACTCGCTCGCTCATGCGCACGACTGGAGAGCATAGTCGATAGGTGCTGCCCTCTCAGTCGCCACATGAACACGAGCCCTCAGTTCGTAGTCGTGACGACGGAACATGCTCTCGGGGAAAGCTGCGAAATAGTTAATCAACTGATTACTGTTACGCAAGTTAAAGATACAATCGCAGATTTTTATAATGCTAAAGACATTCAAGTCACAGGTAAAAGACAAAGTCGGGTAATGTTGCGCTTATAACTGCCGCTGGCAGTCTTGACTAAAGCTACTCGAGCAACACCGTCACTTCCGGGAAACAGTTCGTTTATGACGCCCAAAGGCCATCGAGCACAAGTGTTCACATCATCCATCAGAAGGACTACTGATCCGATTTGAAGTTCAGCATTCGACGTATGCCACTTTTGACGAAGTTGAAGTTCATGGAGGTATTCTTTATGCCATTTACTCCAAAAGTCCTGTCTTGCTTTGGTGATGAAGTTGTAAGTTGATAATCTATTGTCTGGAACTGAGAGAAGATCCCTTTCGGGCAGAAAATGGAATGGGCGGCCTATCAATAAATGCGCTGGTGTTATGGCTGAAGGATCATTGGGGTCGGCTGAAAGAGTACAAAGAGGACGCGAATTCAAAATTGCTTCAATCTCGACTAACAATGTATTTAGTTGCTCATATGTAAGCTTGTGATCTTTTAAAACACGCTTCAAGTGATGCTTGAAACTCTTCACAGCCGCTTCCCAAATCCCCCCGAAATGTGCTGAAAGAGGTGGATTAAAATGCCATGCAATGCGTTTCGTTAAAGCGTAATTCGCGATATCTTCCTTGAAATTATTCGAAGAAACGAGATCGTAAAGGTCGCTAAGTTCGCGATTTGCTCCGACAAAATTAGTCCCGTTGTCTGAGTAAACGTGTTCCGGAACTCCTCTTCTACTGATAAACCTTCGAAAGGCTGCCAAGAAACCTTCGGTCGAGAGGTCAATAGCGAGCTCTATATGAACCGCCTTAGAGGCCATGCAAACGAAAACACAACCGTACGCCTTTAAAAATGATCGGTTTCGATCTTTCTTCTCTTTGATCAAAACTGGACCGAAAAAATCGAGTCCGGTATGTGAGAAAGCCGGTGCTTCATTGACTCTAGAACGCGGTAAGTCTGCCATTTGAGCGTGAATGGGCTTTGGTCTCTGTCGGATACATTCGACACACCGATGAACGATCCTTCGTACTTGATCTCTCCCATTCAGTATCCAGAATTTAGTTCTAATTGCATTAAGAGTGCTTTGAATTCCCGCATGGAGGTTAGTCTGGTGATATCGACGAATGATCATGTCTGTAACAAGATGTTTGCTAGGCAAAAGAATAGGGTGTTTTTGAGCATACGAAAGATCGGATCGCTGCAGTCGACCCCCCACACGAATGATTCCCTCCTCATCAATAAACGGATGTAATTGGTCAAAAGAAGTTCCTCTTAAATGAGATTGAAATGGACGATCACCCGATTGGTCCGTTTTTCCTTTTCGAAGTTCGGAGGCAAATCGCTCCCGTTGGATTATCCGAATAATGCGACGTTCAGTATCACACAGTTCTTCAATGGACAGCGGAAGACCCCGCAGAGTTGGTTTCGTCCAACGCAACATACAAGCGATGACTCTCAATAATCGTTCAAATTCCGAAAAATGTAAATAAATGGGTTCTGTCGAAGTTTCTGTTAGCAAACAAAAGGTTTCCTTTAAGCCAGGTAATTTAGTAATTGATGGTTCAATCGATTTAGGCCAGTAAGAATGTTCTAAAACTAACCATCTGGGACCGGACTTCCAGAGGGA